AGACAGACAGACAGACAGACAGACAGACAGACATACTGACAGAGAGATTAGGTCTTGATTAGAAAGCTTTTAGAACTTCAGTTTGGGGTGAAAGATTCCAAAATGTAAAGATAACAGTGAGCTGAGTAGAGTGGGGCACACTACAGAGGTGTTTTCAGTGATCCCTTAGTAAGGAAAATACTAGGTGGTAAGGATTTGGGATGCATAAGAAAATATTGCTTAAGAGGAATTACAAGATTCTGCAAAATGTGTTTCAATAGTGTGTATTTTGAGGCTGTATAAGTCATGGTTTTAAGTTTATCTTTCTTCAGTTTGAGCTAAGATTCCAACATCTATTCTTCTTGAGTGATAATAGGAATTTTATATTATTCATGTGTATTCAGTTGCCCTGTCAGAGAAGCAGGGATTTTCTTTGTAATTAATTAATTAATTTAGTGCAGGGTCTCCCTACACAGCTTAGACTCATAGTGATCCTCCTGTGAGGATCCTCAGCCTCTCAGCACCGGGCTTAGAGGTGTGTGCCATCATGCCTGGTCCCAGTTGCTTCTCACCACACCTGGAAGTGGGGCCAGTACAACATGTGGTACCAGGGATCAAACCCTGGTCCCTGCTCTTGCCTAAGCAGGCACTTAGTCCTCTGAGCTGCCTTACTTGCTCTCATCACTAAAGGATATTATTTTAATTTGGCTTAGTTGGTTTTCATCAATAAAAGGTAAATGAGTATCAAAGTTCATTTATCAATGAAATGCAAATTCTGAACTGCAAAATTTAATACTCAGACATCTTAAATGACATGCTGGTATTTTTTAGCATGCCTCTTCTGTTCCAGTGAACACTGAATAAAATTCAAAACCTTCTGGATGCACTTTAGAGGTATGTCTCTTTCTCAGTAGAAATCTAGTACCTGATTTTTTCTGAAGACAAGTAAGCTAGAAGATACTCTGATGGAAAGGAGAATGAAATCTTTATGTCTTTAAAAGTCAATAAAAAACAGGCCACTTGCCAAGTTTTTCTAAGCACATTTCTTAAGATATTCTACACCAAAGCTAGCTTTGTGACAGCCAAATAAAGCACTGAAAATAATGTCATCATACCAAATCGTAACAGCCCAAAATAAACATGCTCAGAACTTGAAGTGGACAATAGCAACAGTGGTTTATAAAGATCAAGGCTACTAAAGCTGCTCTGTCCTCATATAGACGGATACTTCAGTTAAAAACACAAATTTCTAAGTTGTTTTTTCCAATCTGCATTTTCTAGCTTTGAGAAGACTATACACCTCACTAAAACTTTAAAAATCTGGTTTTGTTTTACTGTGCACAGATAGTTCAGTAGGATAAGTCCTTGCCTGGCAAGTGCAAGGTCCTGAGTTCAATACATGGTACCACACACACACACACACACACACACACACACACACACGTACGTATAAATATACATATATATTTCTATATGTAAAATGTAAGATAAGATCAAATACTTTGAAGTAGGAAATTTTTTTAGGTATTATGTGATGCTTAGTTTAAATTCATGAATATTTGCAAAGTGTTCTGCCTACTTGAATGCTTTCTTTTGTCTGCTTTCTCCAAAACCCTACAGATCTTCATAAACAATGAATGGCATAATTCAGTGAGTGGCAAGAAATTTCCTGTACTTAATCCTGCAAATGAGGAGAAAATCTGTGAGGTAGAAGAAGGGGATAAGGTGAGTTTCTGAACACCAGTTCCTTTTTATGCCAGGTTGCGCTCTGCTTCTCACCATTCTGAGCTCCTCATACCACAGCAAATCTGATACATTGATGTATGCTTGAAGTACTGTAGTGATTTCTTTTCATATAGTTTTCCTTTAATGTTTTATAATTGAAATAATGTCTACATTTATTATATGAGCAGTCTATAAGAAAGGATTAGTCACAGCCTTGAAAGAGGCAACAAATGCTATATTGATATGAAATCATTTTTAACTTGCTTGGTGATGCTTTAATAATCATGTTATCTTTAGACAATCTATTTTAAAGAATTTCCAAATTACTTCATTAAAAACTACTGAATTAATATGTATCTATACCTTTTAAATTAGTTTTAAGATATCTTGTTGAATAACTAAAAGTGTAGTTTTACTCTAGCTAAAATATTAATAAAAACAAAGACCAAATTCTTTAGTGGAAATGTTTTATAACTTTAAATACTCTAACTAATTTAACATTTAGAGCAACCCTATGAGAAAGATAGTATTTTTAGCTACATTTACAAATGGTGAGACTGGGCATGGTGGCATGTGCTTGTAATCCCAGCTCTTGGGGGGCTGTAAACAGGTGAATCATTACAATTCTGATCTAGTAGTGAGACTCTGAACACCTTCTAAACCCTTCCCTAAAATACAAAACAAATAAAAAAATTAAAAAATACAAATGATGATAAAACAGGATAAAAATTGAGTACTTTACTCAGTATAACATTGCTAGTAAGTAATAAGATCAACATTCAAAGGTCCTTCTGACCCCAGAGCCTGAGTTTAGAAGAGTTACTGCCTTACTATGTGATTTTTAGAAAAGTAAAATAAGGAAAATTTAAAAAGTCTTGAGAGATGAGAAAAAAGCCTCTAGAATTTTTACACAAATATGAACATAAAAAGTGTGTGTGTTTCCAAGCTGAAGTAACTTGTCTATTCTTTAGTTGTTCAATTTTATCAAGCTATAAATCTCTGTTTTTAAGATTTGCTATTCAGTAATAAAATGTCTTGTTTCATGAAAATACTACTAGGAGATGAATTCAGCAAAACCTAAGGCTAATACCTTTCGTGACCCTAGGTTTCAGTTGGATCAATCTCTTGTTCCTGTACAGTGTCCGTTATTCTTTGCCTTAGCCTTAATCCACAGGTCATAACTCTCAAGGTAGTGAGCTGCACAGGCCTATTCTGAGAGAACAATGGAACTTTGGGTTTTCTGAAGACTCCAAATACTTTGCAGAATGATTGGAATAAAGTGAGTCCGAGGCTCACGGGACCAGAGTAGAGTTTGGCAACAAGAGCCAACAACTTGAGAAGGAAAAGCAGAATGAAATGGACACATATCACTTGATTTCAGACTTCATGTTCTATATATACTGAAGAGTTTACCCACACATGAATTCTTCACTCAGCTTCTCATTGCCTGAGGAGAAAATTCCCCCAGGAATGAACATACACTGTTCATCTCTAATTGTCCTCACCTGGTTTTTATGGCCCTGTGCCAGGCTACCTCACTGACCTTAGATTTCTAAATTCACTACACCCAGTGTCCCTCTCCTAGGACTCTTTGCTGGTCACCACATCTGTGCACTTCTACATTACAGTCCCCAGGAACATGTGTCCAAGTCATGTGCAGTAGCAGCCAGAGGTTCTGCTCTGGTACTTACCCTGTGGAGCTCCTGTTGCTTTTTGTGTAAATTGAGGAAATCAGAAATACTTGGAGGGTTAATTAAAATATCCAAAGATCTTCAAAAGAACCAGGGCTGTAAGTGCTTAGTCATTAGGGGATTTTATATTTCTTTCTAAGCCTTCTCAAATCTTCCCAGATAGAGTACTTTCTTTTGTGAATATAGGACATGACATTTATCTGTAATTCTTGAGTTAGAGGTATGCATGCTGATGAATTAGTCTAGATAATGTGATTTTGCAGACATTATCACTACATCTCACATTCTCACAGTTCAGATTCTGGTATGTACGTATCAATGAAGAATTGTCCTCTTTAACCAAGTGAATTTCTATAGACTTTACATCCTATGAATCTAGCACTCACCTGGTTGATGATAAAGGTAGTGATCCAGAAAATGTGCCTCTCATCAGAATTGCCTGAAAACCTGCTTAAGAGGCAAACTCCCACCCTTCCAAAGAGTTTATTTCTTATAACACTCTAGTAAAGCCTAAGAATTTACATTGCTGGAAAATTCACAGCTAAGGTAGATACAGTTGAACAGAAAGTGGGGAATATATTTTGAGAACATTCAACTGAAATATTAAACAATAAATTGTATCTCCTCTTACAGTTTAGCATTTAATAAAGCACGAAGGTTCTTTTCATAATTGCCAATGAGGTATGCTGTCATATCTGTATAATGTATTTTCTGCAATATATTTGTAATTAAAGCTATGTGTAGAATGCATAATGATTATAGCATGAAAATTGTAAATTCTATCTGTCCATACATTTATCATTTCATTGGGTTTGGAGCCTCTTCTGGTTCTTACAAAACGTATTGAAAGTTAAAACTGTAAACTGCAGTCACCCTAGTGCACTGCAAAACATCACAACTTATCCTCTTACTAACTGTATTTTGAACCTATCATTCAGCCTTCACCCATCACCCCTCACCTTTCCCTCTCAGCTTCCGCTAAACACTGTTGTACTTTCTTTCTGAAACCAACTCTTTGTCTTCCATCTATGAATGAGATCATCCCAAATGCATTTTTCTGTGACTGGCTTAATTCCCTTAGCATAATGTCCCCTGGTCTTCTATTCATTTTGCCACAGAAATATTTTTTAAAGCTGAGTCATATTCCACTGCACTGATGCTGGATTTTCTCTCTCCACTTATCTTCTGATAGGCATCTTAGTTGGTTCCACATGTTTGCTCATATAAATGATTGTGCAATTAACAGAACTCTCCCTGAGAGTGCAGCTATAATTTTAACCAATTTCTTTTTGCTTTTAGAAGTGTTCAGATGTGGAACAGCTGGATTATATAGTGGTTTCATTTTAATCTTTTTTTTGAAATTTTCATGCTATTCACCAGAATGACTATAAATTTGTCTTCTCACCAAAAATATGTAAGGTTTTCTTTTCTCTAACATCTGTTATATTGATCTTTTTGGTAACACCCATTCTGTCCAGCGTAAGAAAATATTAATCAAAAGAAAGTTTGACATTGTTTGAATCATTTGTCCATTTTGAAGTCAGATGATTTATTTTTTTGGTATTGTTTTGGATATTTTAATATTATAGACATGAATTCCTTGTCAGGAGTATAGTCTACCTCTTTTCCCATTCTGTGGATGAGCTCTTCAACTGTACGCTCTTGATACCATTTTTAGTTTGATATCAATTTATGTGTCTAATCATGCTTTAATTCTTGTGCTTTTTGGGTTTTACAAAAATAATTTCTTAGCCCAGTATATTGAAGTGTTTGCAAACATAGCTTGACAATTTCAGTTCTTTCATTTGGGTGTTTGACACAGTTTATATTCACTTATGTGAAAGGTGAAAGTTGATGATTGAACTTCATTCTTTTGCATTTAAACAATTTATTGAAGAGGGTATCTCTAGTTTAACGCGTGTTTTTGATGACTTTGCTGAAAGCCCCTTGGATAAATGGATGGAGTATGATGCAGACTTGGACAAATAAAATGATGGTTGGAAGTCATGCTATGACATCGATTCTGCACCTCCATGAATTTTCACAAGACCAAACTTGGTCAGAGACATATTGAACACTCCTGGAAAAATACTACAGAAGTTTTAGAAGCCTGAATCTGATGAACTAGCCCGTGAAGGAGGAGAATGCAATTTTCATATTAAAGAAAAGAACAAATACATAGAGTCAGAAATTTCTAGAGATCCACACATAACTTTATCTCAAATGCTCATCTAGATGGTTCAGTGGCTCGAGAAAGCCTACGTAAAGAAGCAGTAAGTATCTGAGTGCAGGTAGACAGAGAATGGTTGTGATGGCTCCTAATCTTTCTCTGTAGTTATGAATGTTGCTCACAGAAAGACTGCTGTTATGTTTATAGTTTGCAACGAATAAAGGAATATATATATATGTATATATATATATATATATATATATAGCCTTTGTATTTTAGCTCTAGAACCTTTAGCACTTGGCTTTGTCATTGTCTTCCTAGATTACATCTTGCTTTGCCATCAGGGTTATTTCTATAAAGAAATCAAGCTCTCCTTGGGTTATAGTTCAAACCTTCTTAGCCAGTCTGAAGCCTTTTTGGGGCATAGTTTGTGGACTTCACCTTCTTCATAAGGAAGACTAAGGCAAACATTGATGATTATGCCATAAGCCTTTGAATAGTGTGTTGTGGAGTTGCTTTGTGCTTATTGACAATTCTACCCAGAGAAGAGCTCAGGGATGCTTAAAGACTTCCAGCAAAGCTTTGCGGCAGCTTGCAACCATAATGGAATTGGCTGGAGATTTGATCACCCAAAGTAAATGGCTGGTGGCACCAATGTTGCAAGGAAAATAACTTTGTTTCTCATCCAGCATTCCTATTACTTAATTCCTTTTAGAATTGTTTAAAAAACTACTTTTGGTCTTTAAAAAATAATCAACACCCAAACAATTTTTTTAAAGGAGAAAAGGTTTATTTAACACACAGTTTGTAGACATTTCAGTTCAGAGCTGGCTGGCTCCAATCAGGGTAGCATGGCAGAGGGAGTCACAGAACAGACAGTAGGCAATAGACAGCAAGAAGCAAGCAGTGAAGTAGCAAGACAGCTTCTTTCTGTCCCTTTATATTTCATCTAGCTTATTCACCTTTAGAGTGGTGCCACCCACACACTGGTTGAAGGACCCTTAATTCCAGCATTACATTCTTTTTTTTCCCATAATTTTATTGAGAAACAAATAGCAACGAGACAGTTTCAAATCAAAT